GCTAAGAATGGAACCTAGTGCTTCACTCATGCTAGGCGAGTACTGTACCACCAAGCCACAACCCCAGCCCCACACTATCTTTTTAATGTGTTTTTTTAAATACAATTTTCAGTATTTCCTTAAGATTTTTTGAGTCCGTGTTCATCAGGGATATTGGTCTGTAGTTTTCTTTCTTTGATGTGTCTTTGTCTGATTTTGGTATCACAGTAAAACTAGCCTCGTAGAATGAGCTTGAAAGTGTTCCCTCCTTTTCTATTTCATGGAATAATTTGAGGAGAGTTGGTGTTAGTTCTTTGAAGGTCTGGTAGATCTTGGCTGATAATTTATCTGGTCCTGTGATTTTCTTTCTTTGTAGGCTTTAAATGGCATCTTCAAATTCCTTGCTTAAAACTGATCTGTTTTAATTTTCTATGTCCTCTTGATTTAAGGGTAGGTCATATGTCTCTAGAAATGTGTTCATATCTTCAATGTTTTCTATTTTATTGGAGTATAAATTTTCACAACAGTTTTCTTATTATCCTCTGTATTTCAGTGTTTACATTGTGCTATATCCTTTTTCATCACGGATTTTAGTAATTTGTGTTTTTTTCCCCTCTTTTTCTTGCTTAGCTTGGCTCAAGGTATATCAATTTTATTTATTTTTTCAAAGAACCAATTTTTTATATTAATTTTTGAAAATTTTTGTTTCAATTGCATTAATTTTGGCTCTATTTTTAATTACTTCCTGTCTTCTACTGCTTTTGTCATTGATTTTTCTTCTTTTTCTAGGGCTTTGAGATATAATGCTAGGTTATTTATTTGGTCATTTTTCTATTATTCTAATGAATGAGCTCAATGCAATGAACTATCCCGAAGAACTGCCTTCATATTATCCTAGAGATTTTGAAATGTTCTCTTGCTATTCTCTTGTTTTCCTCTAAGTGGTTTTTTATTTAACCCCCTAATTCCTTCTGCTACCCATTCGTCATTCAATAGCATATTATTTAGTCTCCAGGTGTTAGAGTAACCTCTATTTTTAATTTTATCATTGATTTTTAATTTCATTCCATCATGATCTGATAGAATGCAAGGTATTATCTCTGTTTTTCAGTATTTGTTTAGAGTTGGTTTGTGACCTAAGATATTGTCTATTTTATAGAATGATTTGTATACTGCTGAGAAGAAAGTGTATTTAATCATTGATGGATGAAATATTCTATGTATGCCTGTTAAGTGTAAATTATTAATTGTATTTTTTACTTCTATGGCTTCTTTATTTAGTTTTTCTTTGGATGATCTGTCCAGTGGTGACAGAGGAGTGTTAAAGTCACTCATTATTATTGTGTTGTGGTCTGTTTGTTTCTTGAAATTGAGAAGGGTTTATTTCATATACATAGATGCTCCATTGTGTGGGGCATTAATATTTTTGACTATTTTGTCTTGTTGATCTATATTTCCCTTATGAAATAACATTCTTTTCCCCCTCTGATTAGCTTTGGCTTGTAGTCAACTTTATCAGATTTGAGGATAGAAACCCCTGCTTGTTTACAAGATCCATGTGAATGATATTTTTTTTAAATCATTTTACCTTCATTCTGTAGGTGAGTCTCTTGGAGATAGCATATTGTTCAGGCTTGTTTTTTAATACAATCAGCCAGTCTATGTATCTTGATTGATGAGATTAGGTCATTTACATTCTATGTTATTACTGAGAAATGTTTTTATTCCCTATAATTTTTTTTTCTGGTTTTGAATTATTTTCTACATTGATTGACTGTTCTTCTAGTGTAGTTCCTCTGTTTGATGGATTTTAATTTTATTTTTCATGAAATGTTTCATTGAGAATGTTTTGTAGTATAGCATTTCTAGTTGTGAATTCTTTTAACTTTTGTTTATGGTGGAGGGTTTTTATTTCATCATCAATTTTTGAAGCTTAATTTTGCTGGGTATAGTATTCTTGGCTGGCATACATTTTTTTTTCAGATCTTGGTATATATTATTCTAATACCTCCTAGCTTTTAGGATCTGGGTTGAGAACTAAGCTGAGATCTTTATTGGTTTCCCTGTAAATGTGACCTGTCATTTTTCTCAGGCAGCTTTTACAATTCTATTCTTATTTTGTTTGTTAGGCATTGTCATAATAATGTGCCTTGGTGTAGGTCTGTTGTAATTTTGTATATTTGGGGTCCTGTAAGCCTCTTGTATTTAATTGTCCAATTCATTCTTAAGGTTTGGGAAATTTTTAGATATTATTTAATTGAAAAGATTGTACATTCCATTGGTTTATACCTCTGCATCTTCATCTATCCTTATAAATCTTATATTCAGTTTTGTCATGTTATGCCATATTTTTTGGAAGTTCTGTTCATAGTCTCTTAACATCTTTACTTCATGATCAACTTTACTTTCAAGGTTATATATTTTGCTAGGTGTGGTGGCACACACCATAATTCCAGTGGCTTGGGAGGCTGAGACTGGAGGATCACAAATTCAAAGCCAGCCTCAGCAATAGCAAGATGCTAAGCAACTCAGTGAGACCCTGTCTCTAAATAAAACACTAAATAAGGCTGTGGATGTGACTCAATGGTCAAGTTCAATTCCCAGTACAATATGTGTGTGTTTATGTATGTGTGTGTGTTTATGTGTGTGTGTGTGTGTGTGTGTGTGTGTGTGTGTATAATCTTCATTGCCTGAAACTCTCTCTTCCAGGTGGTCTAGTCTGTTGGTAATGCTTTTCCTTGAATTTTTAATTTGGTTTACTGATTCCTTAATTTCCACTTGATTTTCTTTCAGAATCTCTCTTTATTGAACTGATCTTTCACTTCCTGTATTTTATCTCTGATTTCACTAATACATTATCCTTTACCTCACAGATCATTTTTAGTATGAACTTCTAAATTCCCTCTCCGACTTTTCTTCCACTGTGGTGTCAATGGATTCTGTTACTGAAATATCTTGGTTTGTTTGAGGTGTTTTTTTTCCTCTTGCTTTTTCATGTTGCTTGTGTGTCTACCCATCTACCAGTATGGATCTGAGGCAGTCAGTAGAGTGTCTACACTATGGACTTACAGTGTCCCTGAAGGTTTTTAGTACCTCACCATTTAAAGGGAGACAAATAATAAAAACAACCCATGCAAACAATATACAGCATTAAACCACATTTTTCCTGCTATGACATCTAAATGCTAATTGTCACAATAAACAGAAATGTTGTCATCTGTAAAAACAGTAAGTTTGCAAATGGGTTTAAAATTGCAAATGGTGGATAGGGAGAGAACAGAAGAGGAGTAGGATATGATGATTATGACAGAGGAGGAGAGAAAAACAGAAGTAAAATATTAAAGGAAGAGTTAAAGAGAGAACAATAGAGTTTGGATTTTGGCAGAAGAAAGAAAGAATCAAGGGAAAGAAGATAAGTTAGAGAAAAAAGTACATAAAATAAAAATTAAAAAATAGGGCTGGGGATATGGCTCAAGCGGTAGCGCGCTCGCCTGGCATGCGTGCTGCCTGGGTTCGATCCTCCGCACCACAAAGATGTTGTGTCCACCGATAACTAAAAAATATTAAAATTCTCTCTCTCTCCCTCTCTCTTTAAAAAAAATTTAAAAATAAATAAATAAGGGCTGGGATTGTGGCTCAGTGGTAGAGCACTTATCTCACATATATGAGGCATTGGATTTGATCCTCAGCACCACATAAAAATAAATAAATAAAATAAAGGTACTGTGTCCACCAAAATTTAAAAAAATTAAATTAATTAATTAAAAATAAAATTCAAAATCAAAATAAACAAATCATACATCCTAGCCCTCAAAATTCAGAGCCATGAAAGATAACTGCCTTTAAAAGTGCTACAGCTGGGTGCACTGGTGCATGCCTGTAATCGCAGTGGCTCAGGAGGCTGAGGCAGGAGGATCTTGGGTTCAAAGCCAGCCTCAGCAACTTAGTGAGGCACTAAGCAACTCAGTGAGACCCTGTCTCTAAATAAAATACAAAATAGGGCTGGGGGTGTGGGTCAGTGGTTGAATACCCCTGAATTCAGTCCCTGGTATCCCCCCCAAAAAAATGCTAGAAATGAGAAAAAAAATCAGGTCAC